AAATCACTCATACGCACAATTTAAGAACAAATCTGTGCGTACAACGGTTCTTGCATGAGGCCCATTCATCTCATCTTGAATGTCAACAAAACAAAGGAGATGATTGTAGATTTCAGGAGAAATGGTGCTAGATCAAACCCTGTTTCCATCATGGGAGAAGAAGTGGAGGTGGTTGAGGAATATAAATACCTCGGTGTTCATCTGGACAACAGACTGGACTGGAGACTCAACAKTGAAGCAGTCTACAAGAAAGGACAGAGCAGACTGTACTAGTTCTAAATTTAGGCTTCACAAAAATCGCTGTCCCTTTAAGATCATAATAACTCTCTTAACAAAATTTAATTGGATGTTTGAAGGTAATATGTTCTTATGAACTCTATAATAAACCAACTCATAAAGTTCCTTTAAATCAAGACTGAAAACCCACCTGTTTAGAGTTGCTGATGAAACATAACTGAAACATTAATCAACATTTTGATGTGTAACGATGACACTTGACAAACTGTAACGCTTCCGTTGTTAACTGTGTTCTATGACTTTGTATTTTTTGTGTTTTTATGATGTAAAGCACTTTGAACTGCCTTGTTGCTGAAATGTGTTATACGATTAAACTTGACTGATTGATAAAATTTTAATAACTTCATTTGATAAATAATGTATTTGATGGGTGATTGTAATGTTTTGTGATAATTCTTACAGCTCTTTTCCAAAGAAGAAAAGAATTGTTTTACATGTTTCCCCCAAACATTGATAGATTGATCAATAGATTGCATTATACACTATATACAGAGATTTATTGTTGAATAATTCCCTTACTTTGTACAGTACTGCAATAGATTTAGCTATTTTTTATCTTAAATAATTTATGTGATGTTTCCATATCAGCTTTTCATCAATGATAAAGCCCAAAAACTTCACCTCACTGACTCTACAGATGTCAACACCATCAACTCTAAATGGAACAGCGGTGGTTTTCTTTTTTATTACGTAAGTTTTATTCAAATTTAATGATAATTTATTACGTTAAACCAAGTTTGTATTTTTACAAACTCTGTTTGCATTATCTCTAACATCCGTTCTACATCTTTACCCAAAGCAAAACAAAAAGTTTCATCTGCAAATAGAACAGCCTTAAAAAGCCCAGACACATTTACCGTCATTCACGTGAAATAACTTTGTACCAAATACACAACCCTGAGGAACTCCACGTGATATTACAGAGTTCAGATCTTACATCATTTATTTGCTCCTCTATTTCCATATTTATCCAGCTTTTCAAGGAGAATAATGTGGTCAACAGTGTCAGATGCTTTCTTCAAATCAACACTGACTACTTTTGATTAACAGCAAGTATCTGTTATATTTCTGAGTGCATATCTGCATTTCAGACCTACAAAATCGATATACCTGGAAAACTACTGGGGTAAATTAATTAAACTAATAATCTGATATAGTTCTGGTTATCCATTTTAATGCTTAATTACATATTTTGCAATTAAATTATTTTATGGTTGGATCAGGAGAGAGCATCAAAAGAAGAAGGGACAGACTATACATCCCATCTACGAGTAATAAATAAAATAAATAAATAAACTTTTGAAATGAGTGTTACCTGGAGACACCGTCAGGTTTTCTCCTTGAGAACTGACGGCCTGAATAAAAAAGTACCGGACTGGTAAAACCGCTTCAGGACTCAGTCCGGGACCCCAGACGAGACACCCCTGCGGACTGATTCCCTCGCAGCAACAAACCGTCAAGTCTGCGATGAAAAATGCGACTAAAACCGCGAACCTGCGCAGAAACCCGCTCCGAACAGCTCGAACCGGGTCTCTGCTCCGTCCTCGCGTCATGTTACCGAAAGCGATGCGAACTAAATGCGTCAAGTCCACTGAACGATCCGTAAAGTTTGGATGCCGAAGTCTTCACTCCGCCATGTTGGCTGTAAGCCACGCCCACTACCCGGTGGTGCCTTCAGGAACGTGGGAAATATTGAAACAGCCCAAAAAATGACGTCAAATCGATCATTTTGAGCTTTTTAGAACAATAACTGTTAAGAATTTAGGGAAATAAAAACTACAACAATGTGTTTGATTAAACAAAATAAATTAAAATATATTCAAGTGTCAGTAAAGGAGCAACTACTGACAGTTTGAACTACCTTTGCGATTTTTGTATTTAATTACACCATAATCAACATTTCATTTTTAAGGAAAATTTATCAACATTTAATTTAAATTGCTGTAAGGATTAGGAGAAGAGGCAACAATAAATTGTGTCCTTTCATGAGTCTTTAGTCGCCTGCATTCATTGTTAGGTATTTTTGCACAAATTTATATCAACAAAACATTTTTTTTTTTGTAAAATTAGAAGAAAAATGGACTGCACATGTACTGTGAAAATGTAGAAGCAGTAAATATGTGTGTAAACAAGTGACTGTAAAAACACTGCAGGCTAAAACCATAACTCTAAATCATTCTGTTTAATGCAAGAATTGCTTAAGATCTTCTAAATTACAAAGATTAATATTTAGCTTCCCTACTGTATTTATGTGGCTGATTTGAAATGAACATTGTGAAGACAAATAAAGGAACCTGCTTGTTGTGAAAAGCAGAAGTCAGTTTGTGAGTTGCTGTTTTCTGCACACAGAAGTTGTGAATAATCTGCTTTACCTTCAATACTTGGTTATAAAAGTTTATTTCACACTAAACAATCCTCGTCTCATCAGCGAGAACTGATGGAATAAAAAAAAACATCTAATATGCGAAGATATTTTGGTTTTGGTGTCCCAGCTTTTCCAGATTGGGCAGACAGGCGTTCTTGATCATCGGCGAGGGACCGCAGAGGACGACGAGGACGTCTGAGGACGGAGCAGGGAGGTGGTCCCTGATCATGTCAAAGGTCACGTATCCAGAACTGTAGCTCCAGTCTTAAAATCACAGAAAAACAAAACAACATGTGAGCTTCTTCACCTTTAAACCAATCAAAAGAACTGAAGGTGTCGTCTCACCCTGTGGAGGTTTGTCCAACGTGTACCAGACCTTAACCCGCTCAGGATGCTTCTCCTGCACCTCCTCCAGCTCCTCCCTCAGTAAAATATCTTTCTCAGTCTGAAATAAGAGCAACGAAAAAATAAAACACGGTTTTCTTTCGAGTGTTTTTCTAAAACAACACGATGAAGCCGTCACTCACCTGGTTGGCGAATATAAGGGAGCACCTGGTGTTGTCAGCAGGATCTGAGGTGATGCTGTGGATTAACTGCAGCATCGGGGTGATACCTGCAGCACGAGACACCTGATTAGTTCCAGATTAAACTAACCAGATACATGGTTAGTCCTAGATTAAACAGATTAAACTAACCAAACACTTGGTTAGTTCTAGATTAAACAGATTAAACTAACCAGATACATGGTTAGTTCTAGATTAAACTAACCAGACACCTGCTTAGTTCTAGATTAAACAGATTAAACTAACAAGATACATGGTTAGTCCTAGATTAAACAGATTAAACTAACCAAACACTTGGTTAGTTCTAGATTAAACAGATTAAACTAAACAGGAACCTGGTTAGTTCTAGATTAAACAGATTAAACTAACCAGATACCAGGTTAGTTCTTGATTAAACTAACCAGGCACCTGGTTAGTTCTAGATTAAACAGATTAAACTAACCAAACACCTGGTTAGTTCTAGATTAAACTAACCAGACACCTGCTTAGTTATAGATTAAACAGATTAAACTAACCAGATACCAGGTTAGTTCTTGATTAAACAGATTAAACTAACCAGACACCTGCTTTGTTCTAGATTAAACTAACAAGATGCATGGTTAGTCCTAGATTAAACAGATTAAAATAACCAGAGACCTGGTTAGTTCTAGATTAAACTAACCAGACATCTGCTTTGTTCTAGATTAAACTAACAGACACCTGGTTAGTTCTAGATTAAAACACATTATAAAGCTGTGATGAGTTGAGCAGAAACGTGAATAAACCTGTTCCACCAGCAATCATCCCAACGTGCTTAAACTGCTGAATCTTTGGCTCCGTCTTCTTGTTGGCTCGAATAGAAAACACACCTGGACAGGTACCAGGAGAGACCAACACTCAGAACTGGTTTATAATCTAATCAGATAATTAAAGCTGCTTTTAAATTAAACGTTTAATTCATCAAAAAAAAACTCGAACCATTTCCCTCATAGATGAGGAGTCCGTTGGGTCCTCTGAAGTCCATGGTGTCTCCAATGGACATGTTGTCCAGGTACTGAGACATCTGTCCTCCTTCTGGATACGATGGGTGACTGCCTTTGTAGTAGATCTGAGGAGGTTCTTTTTTTTAGTAAAAGTCTGAACCATCTTTCAGTTCTGAGGTTTTAACTTTCAGAACTTAATAAAAATAATTCTTTATAATAAATCTAAAGGTAAATAGAGTACGGCGGCGTATCAGCACCACTTTGCAGACAAAAAAATTTAAAAAGAAAGAGGAGCAAATCTCCACCAAAAAAACTCTTCTCTTTCGAGAAAAAACAAGAAAATTCTCTGAGCTCCAAAAGTCGCAAATTTGCGAGAAAAAATCTGAATTTCTGAAATTAATTTCAGAAATTTTCTTTAAAAAACTGAAAATTCTCTTATGTGGAAAAAGTCATAAATTTGCGAGAGAAAAAAAACGGAACTTTCCATGATTGAAGGCAACAGTTTTTGACATTCAAGCTAAATATTTTCTGATATGGTAAAGTCAGAAATTTACAAGGAAAAACAAACACGTAATTTATGAGGAAAAAAAACTCTGAAGTTTTCAGGAATAAAGGGCGATTCCACCCGTTTTCACCTTGAACCTAATCTGCTCTAGTTTAAAGACTAAAACACAGACTTCAACCCTGGACTAGATTATTCTCCACTGACTGCAGAATATTTAAAACCAAGTGTGTTATGTGTGAAACATAAATTTGATTTGAAACCAGAATAAGGTGATTTCAGCACTTTCTATGCGTTTTATAAACAAACTGTGCGTGATCAGATGGAGAGGAGAGAGAATCAGAGTGACTGAAGCAAAATGATCATGGAGCCTATAGAGAAAAATAATTTTCAAAACTATACAGCCATGCAATAAAATCATAATTTCCCCCAACTTGTGCTGACACGTCACGTTTCTGTAACTGGATATTTCAAAATAAAAGTCTGCAAATCTTTTGAAAATGATTTCTCTTTTTCTGTTAAGCACATTGTGAATGAAAGGAACTATTTAAATAAAGTTTACTGACTGACTGACGTATTGCTTCAGGAAGATAAGACCCTTTTGATTGAAATCTTTTGCTAATCTCTTTGCTAACTTTATCTCCTAATAGCTGACTCGTACGTGGTGTTCTTAGTTTTTAAAAGATATGAGTCTTTTTCTTTAACTACCTTAACCACGAGGTCAACAAATCCCTGGTCTTCATCACTGGAGACTGGAGTGTAGGGTCGGACCACCAGAGCACCGTTCACCTTGGCTGTGAGGTAAACGTGCTGACCTGCAGCAGAGGATGGAGAAGGAAACAAGCTGGTGACTATTCTACAGACTAAATTAAATATATTTTAATAACCGTTATTTCATTTTCTTTTAAGACACAATATATAAATTAATGGAAATCATTGAGCTGTACGTTTTCTTTTATTTGTGCGTTTAGAGGACCGTTTTATTTATTTATTCTTTCTCATTTCAATCCTGTTTTGTTTCTAAAAGTTCAAATGCTAATAAAAACATTTCAACAGAAAGATAGTCTAAATTAGACTCAAAATTAAAAGAAATCAAGCTAATTTCCTGTGTTTGATACAACCAGCGAGTTCTGAGCAGCCAGGTTTTAAACATCATGGCATATTTTTGTGAGCATATTTTGTAAAACAGTATTTTTGGTCATGCACAGTATTTTGTCCACTCTGAAAGATTTTTTATGTTGTGTTGTTGACATTGTTTTATTTATATTTTTGTTACATTGTTGCTTTTGTATTTTGCACTATTTTTCTCAAACAGCTGTGTGTAATACTACAGTAGAAGGTAATAGGGGATTTATCTTTGGATTTTTTATGATTACATTGTTTTATATTGTAGTTAGTTAATAAAAAACATTTTCATTTGCCTAAAATTATACACACACACACACACACACACACACACACACACACACACACACACACA